TGCTGTTGCCCATGAACTGCAGCAAAAATCACTGTTAAAATATCTGTATTATGCATTCAGGAAAAAGATCTAAATCTTGTCAGCTAAACCAAATTTTACTTTCAAAGGGCATTAACCTTGAGTAAGAACCTTCTCCTCAGCCAGCAAAAATTCTTGAGATCCCCTCTATCCAAACAACCATTTACATAATTATTGAACAGCTTTATCAGTTATTTCACTGCAAAGGCCAGGTTGCCACTAACTTTTTAAATCTGTATTTTGTGTCTCTCAGTATTTTTAATAATTTCTCTAAAGGTCAAAAATAACATATCTCTCAGCAATGGAGTTCACCCTTCTTTAAAAAAATTACTAAATAACTAATTCCACTTCTTCATCCACTTGCAATTCCAGTGATTCAATGCATGTTTTTTGTAATATCAGGTAAAAACAAACAAACCTCTTCCTGCAAAGAAACCTTTGTCTTGAAAGATTCCTTGCTCTTGATCAGCCTTGTCCCAAAAAGACCGAAAGCCCAAAGTTAAATTCTTTCTCCCTTCTGAGGGTGGGACTCATCAAAGCAAAGGGTATCTACCCCTGGCCCCCTTGACAGCCACTGGAGCCCAACTTCCACAGCTCTTCCCACCTTATCCCAGAATCCCAGGATGGGTCAGGCTGGAAGGGACCACACTGGGTCATCTGCTCCAGCCTCCCTGCTCAAGCAGGGCCATCCCAGAACACATGGCACAGGATTGTGTCCAGATGGTTCTTAAATACCTCCAGTGAGGGAGACTCCACTCCCTCTCTGGGCAGCCTGTCAGTGCTCAGTCATCTGCACTTACCTAAAGCAGGTACATAAAATGGGCAGGATAATTCCTTGGAAGGATGTTCTTCTCTGCTTTAACTATGAAAATAAATAGAAAAACTACCACAGATGACTGTCAGAAGTACAGACATCATATAGGAAATGTATCTTACCCTCAGTGCCAGAAAAACCTCTGACCTTAACAGCCACACACAAACCATTTTAAGGAAAACATCAGAGAATTTTATTTCAGGCCTATTATCTTCAAATACAGTTCACTGGAAACTTGCAAAGTAATGAGTAGAAATACAAACCAATAAACAAACAAAAAGCATTTCTCTATCAAAACATATTTCAGAAGAAATCCCTTGACAGAAAGAAGAATTAAGCTATGCTGCTCTGCACATTTAATCCCTACTCTGTAAAACAATTCACTGCACTGGACACATTGCTTGCCCGGAGCTTTCCATCCATAAGGTTTAAGATGACTGCATGAAAAGCATTAAAAAGCACTACCATTTATCCCTACATCCCTTGCACAAATTCCCTTTCAGCTCCAAGAAATGAGGGCAAACAGCCACAATGGTTTCAGATGGAAAGAATATATAAAACATATCATCAGGTCAAAGTGTTCCAGCACAAGAGAAATTGGATGAGCAGCATTTTCCATTACAGACATCCAGACAGAGGCAGTTTGCTCAATCATTTGAAGGGAAGAATTAAACATACTCCTTTTTCTCCACACCTAGCCCAAAAGAGAGAGAAAAGGCCCAAAATATTGCACAACTGTACTGGCTGGGCTGAGTCCATGGGAAAGGGGAGCCAAGCTCACTTGCTCCTCTGTGTGGTTCTCTGATCCATCAAAAGCAGCATGGACACTGCCTCATGCTCAAGCCAGCCAGGCTCGGTAAATCCTGGCCCTTAAACTGCAAGTAGACACCTAAACTCAGGAAAAAATCAAGCCTCCTCTTTTACATGTCCTATTACTCATCTGGAACATCTCCTCTTGCTTCCCACTTTTACCATCCCAAGTAAAGCAGCTGTTGCAAAGCCAAGTCCTTTTTTGTTAGATGTTTTGTGAACATGAATTTCCAAGATCAGTTGATGGATGCTGTCCTGTGCTCTTTTCACTGGGAAAGGCAGAAAAACAATAACTGTTAATAATGTCCACGAATTAATTCTGCAAAGGCAAGGAAAGGAGGATGAGGCCAAGGTCCTTCCAATTAAAAAAAAAAAAATCAGCATTGAAAAGGAGGTGATTAAAATGGGACATGACAAAAGGCCAAACGTGGACACACATTTTGTGTCTGACATTGGGGATGTGACTCCCAGCCAGGGCACTGTGCCCAGTGCCTCGTGTACCCGCTGGAGGCAGCCCTTGTCCCAGCAATGTGTCCTCTTCAGCCACATGCTTTTTGTTTTCCAGACACAAAACAAGACAAGGTTGTAAAATATTCCTATTGCCAAAATTTATTATCGCTCCACTCCAATGGGCTGCAAGGGTTTTTCAAGTCTTTTAAAAAGAGAACATATCACAAAGCCTTAGAAATTAACTTCTTCATGCCTCCAAAAATTTCAAGTTCATATTAGACATACATTGTCATTTCAATCCCTGCCCAAAAGATGACTTACTTTTTTTAAAACTGAGAGTCTGCATTTATTCACCGTCCTGCACAGAATTTTTGCTTTCACCAAAGTGACATAGGTGGTGGATGAAAAAGAATTGAAATAAAACCCCTTCTGTGCAATCATATATGTTTATTATGATAAAAACCAGCTAAAATTAAATTAAATTATACTTAATTGTTCAATTAAAGTTAATTACAAAGTAAGTGCTTCATGGTGTACAGTTTTATCATGAGGAAAAGTAATTCAAAACCTAGTCCTCTTTACAGGGACTTATTAAGATAAGGAAAACTGTCTTTTATGAACATAATACTCTAGCATATATCTGACCTCACTGAAGAGTGCACTGCTGGAACAAAATTATGAGATACTACATGATTCAAGCAAATTTTATTTTTCACTCACAAACATTTGAATGTAACACTGGGCTGTGAAAATAATCAAGAATGACAAGCCTCAAAATGTATGCAGCTCTGCTGAACTGAACTGATGGAAGCCTTGAGTTAGTCAGCAAAATAAAGCCACAGGGAGAACAGGGATTTATCATGTCTGAGAGCAGAGCCTTGAATGCTGAAAGTGAAGTCTGAAGAGAAGCTCCAAAGACAGTGGGTTTTGCATAACACCATCTTTGTGGTTTAGTATTTTAATTGGGATGAAAATTAGGGAGAAAATACTGTCAAATAGAAGGAAATGACCTGATTGTGTCCCAAATAAGCAAAGAAGTAGAGTTTGCTTTGGTCTGTTAGCAAACTCTTGGTGGTGCCCATAAATGCCCCACCAAAGCTGGGCCATCCCAGTACCCAGCTGAAGCAGCTCTATCCCCTCTACTTGTAATTTCATGCATAGATCAACAAGCAAAAAAAGAAAAAAAAAAAAAGAGTTCTTAATAGACCTATGGACTAAATTTTGCTCTGACAACATGACTCAAAGTTTTTTACTGAACTACAAAAGGTCAGGCACTGAATGAGTACAGAGTCCTCTTTCCCTTCAAAAGGCTCTGCATCAGTTCTTCATTCATCACTGCAAACTTTGAGCTGAAATTCATCAGTAAATCATGGCACAGAGGTTTGCTGCCAATGTGTGACAGGGTTCCACTTGTTACTGGGTCCAGTAATGAATAAAGCCAATTGCAAATCTTTAATTTAAGAGGGAAAATAAAAGGAAAAAAACCAAAAAAAACAACAATCCACCAGGTTTTGTATAGTAGAATTCCAATGTTATGGATGCTGTAGGAGTGAAAAACTGAGGGGAAGGAAGGAATGAACTTTCAAAGGAATTTTATGTAAGGGGATGTTTGGTATAGCTCTGGAATCTTAAATGTGAAGTCCAGGGAGAATAAGAGTTGAAAGCAAGAAATAAAATATCCAAGATGAAAAGTTAGTTCACTAAAACATATGTCGACAGTATAAGATTTTTTTAAACCAAAGGAATGTATCACATGAATATAAAAAAGTCTCTCTATTTTTTTTTAATTGTAATCATCATTAAATTAGTAGTAGTGAAACTTGGACATTTTTTCATTGAAGTGTCTTCCATTGGAAACCTGATGCATAGAAATCTACATTTTTCATGAGAACATGCAACTCTTCCTTGATAGGAAAGTTTCCCCCTGTCATATGTGGAAGGATTTATCACAGACCAGAAGAGCCCTCAGCTCAGTGTGAAGACACCCAGCAAGAGCCAGTGTGTTCTTTGCATGATAAAAACCCCAGGCTTGAATCCTATTTGTGCCTGAGCCTAAGTGAGACCTGTGGCCACTACAGTGCCAGACACCATGGAATGGGCTTATGCTACACCTAGTATGAGCAGCTAAATATCTGTCAAAGCAGGGGATTTAATGTGGGGCTCTATGCTGCAGGTAAGTTCACTGGCTATCAGAATATATATTTAATTTCATTCTCTCTTGTTGAACCTGCTAAGTTTTGTGATAATTGAACATTTAGGGAGACAGTGTGAGTGTGACCAGTATTTTGATATTTATTGTGTTGGCAAGCTTTATTAATGCTCATCTATCACAGCAGTGTCTGAGAAAAGCCTGAAGGCAGGGGAGCACTATCTCCCTTCTGACAGATGAGTTCCATGAAACACTCCTGTGCAGTGGGAGCTTGGGTGAGGCACTGCTGGACCCTCACTTGAGGTACTCGAGGAGACACAGCCAGACACAGAGTCCTGTCCCATCCTGCAACCAGCAATCAACCCACCTTTTCCTTAACATGCAGTTAAATTGTTTTGCCAAAAAACAAGTATGACTGAGTGATAGCTTGCAACACTTAGTAACACTGTAAGAATAAGCACTATCAACATGATACAGAATGACCACTCAGTGTGTAAAAATGCAAAATCATCAGAAAAATAAGCCTGTGGATGTACTATACTATGTAACCATTTTGAGCATCTTCTGCTGGTGAAAATGTCAAGTGTCATTAAGATAAATTATTTTTAAATATTCATTTTGCAGTGCATTGTGTCAGCTGAAGTACAGTATATAGTATGAACTAATATTCTGTATTCTGTTGTGACAAGCACACAATATTATACAAAAGTGTAACACACAGTATTTCCTCCCCCTACCCCACTTTTAACCAAATAAATTCTACTCAAGTGTAGTTGACACAAAGTCTACCAAATATTGTTTGGATACTTTTACAGGCTTAAAAAAAAAACAAAAAAACAAGAAACAGAAATCAGAAATCAAAAGGAAAAAGAACTTGATGATGGACACTGAAGTACTGCAAGGGAATTCCTGTTTCTTCAGGTTGCCATATTGAGATTCCTGTCCTTAAGAAAGTCTTCAAGTGGGTGTAACTCCAAACTTAGGAAGTTTATTCCCAGCATCCAAGATATTAATGACAATATTGAATATAACCAGGTGTGAAACAGACTGCTTCCCACTTTTGCCTTGCCAGAGAAACATAAGTGACTAGCTCCCTTTTGAATACAAATGCCCACTGAGTTAAGTCTTAAAATATTCACTGCTGATCTTTTTTTCCCCTGACTTCTTCAGAAATCTGAAACAATGCATTGTGCAGGAAAGAAATGCAAAATTCATATTTAAAATGAAATTGGGTAATATGTGCTGCATTATCCATCAAATACCTAGTCAAAATACCAGGGGAGTGTTTCTTGCATGGAACATTGATGCACTTTGCTTTAAGCTCCTGAAATTTAGACCCTGCCTTCAACAACAATAAAATGGCCAACTCCATGATTTGTCTGAAGCAATACTTAAATTAAGCAATGAAATATATTTTATAATTGCACATTAAGTCTCTCTAAACACTTTTAAAACCACCACTTAATTCAGTAGTGTACACATGAGGATCCTACAATGAACTAGGAGCACGTACCACTTGATTACACATTGGTGTAAAAGCAGCCATGTACTCTGCCAGGGTCAGGTCATTCACCAGGCTCTTCATCTCTTCATCAAATGCAGAGTTAATAAATCCTTGCCTGTGGAATTCATCATGCATCCTCCTAATGAAGCTGTTCCTTTCCTGGCACTTTTGGGTGAGGCAAGCCAGCTTAGCCTGTGTGGCATGAACACACAAACATCCCATGGTTCTGTCATTTCACTCCCTTCTGAGACTGCAAGATTACATTTTGTGTCTGATCTGTAATTCCACATTTTGGCCCAAAGCTACAGACTGTATTCCTAGATCTCTACATTATTAGATGCCTCCACACCTTCAAGAGCAGCATATATGCACAGATAAACTGGAAAGAGATGTTCCCTTTCTGTGTGCAAGGTCCCCCTTTTGAGAGGCTGAAAGTCACCACCTTGCAATGATGTCAGTGGGCCCCTGCCTGGGGTGAAGGCAGCAGCACCCAGAAAATCAGGGACAGCTGCAGAGGAAGGCACAGGTACAGAGCCTGTAAGCAAAGGGATACCCCTGTGCAGGTCCTGAATCAGGGTTCAGGGAAACACACTACCTTCAGAGGAGCTAATGTCAACTTCACTTCAGATTTCCTCTTCTGCAGCTCCTTCTCCTGAAAGGTTGAAAAACATCCTGCATCAATTTATTCAAGAATCACTTTGAAATATTCCAGCAGTTTTTTGGGTATTTTAGACCTGGCTCTGAGGTGTACACTTTGCATATCTGTGTGACCCTGTACCACAAACAGGATGAATCAGTGTAAGGCACTAGCTGCACACAGATAGGCTCTGGCACACAAACACTGCCCTACATTAGCATTAGTCTTAAAAATTATCAAAGGCTTTTGGATGTTCTTAGATGGAGCCTGAGATCAGTGAGGTTATTTAATCAAAGCAGCATCACAGTAAAGACTTGGTATCCTTCATTATGCACTCAGGTTCATATTTACTCTGTGAATCTCCCAAAACATTCATTGGAGGAAAATTTTCCCTTTCCTTATCAATATTTTACTGTAAAATCAGAGAAAAGAGGAGGGATTTTCTGCATGTATATTCTACTCTGGAAAGGAAACATCGACAGTCTTTGACACAGCTGATACATGTCCTCTATTAGGAGGAGAAGCAGGGTGGGCCAGATTACTTAGTCTGTACTTTATGATTAAAATCTACTGATGGTAACCCTCCTTTCTGATTATGCAGAGAAAAAAACCCAGCATCTTGCCACATAAAATCCATTACCACTATGAGTCAATACAGTATTTTTGACTGTAAAGTATCGATTCCTTTGCATTTATCATGCCTGATAATTTATATTTCCATAAAGTTTACAGTAATTATCTTATATTCATCATTAAAAAACCCTCCTTTATGAGAAATCAGGTATGCTGAAAAAGGTCACATTGTCCTCAGCTAATAGATTGTGGGCTTGGGAGGAATCAGAGCAGGCAGGACAGGGGAAACGTATTTATGTTGCACTGGGGAAACAAACAAAGAGCTGGCAGTAGGTCCCTGCACTGGAGACTTTCAACTCTTGATGAGGCAGGGGGCAACACATCTTGCTGATGCAAGAGAACAACTAAGATTTGTCCATTTATATGGACAGCACATCTCACCCTTTACTCACCTACCACCTGATGTGACACTACAGAACACTTTCATTTTACCAGCACTGTTCTTCTAAGAGATATCCCCCAACCCATGCCTGGAGAAGCCACTAACCCTCTTTACAGGACTGGTTTAGAGCAAGCCACAGCACAGGATGAGGCTAGGAAAAACAAAACAAAACTACTACCACCAAACAAACAGACAAACAACAACAAAACAGAAACCAAAATTGTAGCAAGATGGGTTTACTGTGGAGAAAGTAGAATGAAACCTGTTCCCAGTAGGGAGAAGACAATAATCTCTTGTATGTCAGAGTAGAAGCTATGAAGAACAAAGAGCACTATTGAAAACATTCCATTTAGTAGCTGTTTCAGAGCCTGGTGGGCCATTCCAGTTTGGCTCACATTGTGACTATTATCCTGTTCCAAAATATAGTCCCAATAGGAAACAAAATCTAAGGGAAAGCAGTCCTAGGAGGAATTTGTTTCCACCCAAGAGTTCAGTAGCTGTAGCCACACTCACAGCAGCAGTTTTGCTGTCACACTGTAAGGCAGCAGCTTTGCAAATCTTAATGTACCTGCTCTGGTTTGCCAGGTGAAAAATAATGCACAAGTGTATAAACTGCTTGTGGCAGTGCATTTGTGCATACATGGGGGTGCTCATCAGAATAACTATGACAAAAATCCAAACCACACACCTGTCTAAAAATGTCTAACTGAAACTCTTCATGTGTAACCCCAGCAGGTGAACCAAAGAAGTTAGGAAAAGTCTATCAAAATTAGCTTGGAGTTTCATAATCTGATATAGTGGAAAAAGAGGGTTGTGAATCTTAAAAAATCCTGACAATTTAAGCCAAGGAGATTCTCTGTAAAGAATTTCAGCACCACTGTGCTTGCATTACACTATGGGGATTAATTAGAGCAGAGACTGAATTTTCATGATCATCTATCATTTTTCCATAACATGGATCACTCAGGCAGTTTACATCTTTTCCCTATTTTTCTGAAGTTAGGAGTACTTGTATATATGCCTGGAAACCATTTAACTATCCTCAGATTCATTCCCAGGAAAGAAGTCTATTTTACTTCTCCCCTTTGAAAAGAGAGATGTAGAATCTGACATCTAAGCTCACATTTAAGCACAAAGAGAACAATTTTATACCTTTTCACATAGCTGAGCCTGAAGGAGTTCCACTTCATTCTGCAAGCCATGAAACTGAATTTGTAATGCAGCCTGGTCCCTGAGCTGGGCTTTCAAGGTCAACACTTGCTGCTCTAATCTCTTACTGGCTATTTTATCCACCTCTTTTTCCTGGGCATCCTTCAATGTGTACACAGGCTAGAGAGAAAATATACAGATTTTCAATTTAGGTGTATAAAACAACAAAAATATTCTTAATCATGTCTTTGACCACAAAACTTCTCAATCGATATAACTACTTACCTTGTACATCAAAAAGAAGCAATGTTATCAAATGCATGATCCCAAAACTTCATTAATATATTAACACTTATATTTTGCACTAATCTTAAACTCTTTATATGTAAAGAGTACTTGACTTGTGTGAGAAGAGGTATAGAAATGGATTCCTACAACATTTCTTCAAAGTAAATATATTTATTGTAATGATTTAATAAATAGGGAAACTGGGCAAAGACAGATGAAGTGACCAATCTGTGGTCACATAGTGAGTAACAAAAAAACTCAGATGTTCCCAGTCTCCTGCTTCAACAAGAAGTAATATGTCCCTTGTTTTTCTACATATATTTATGTCAGAGAGATAATTCCCCTCTCCCAAATATTTATTTGTTCTGGAAGATTATTAATAAACTAATAAGATCTTAAGTAAAAATTTCTAAAAATAAAATTTGTTACATTAAATGTAATAATCATGATACAGAGCAAGTGGAAAGAGAAGCTTCTGAATTTAACTCCTCCTCCCCACTCTTCAATTTATTTTCTCCCCAGTTTCATGCACATAGATTGAAAGGAGTAGTGAGAGCTTTAGATTGATGGTCAGCATCATAAGGTCAGCTCCTACAAGTGACACTGCCTGATTAAACATATAGATTTAGAATGAGGCAAATCTGAAGGAGAAGGAAGTATCCTGAAAAACACTTAGGCTATTATATTAAAAATAAAATTGAGTTGATTCACACAGCTGGTCAAGATTTCTGATAATCTAAGTATCAGTATGTAAGGAATATATACTATATATGTATATATTTATATATATACACTGTGGTAAAACTGTATAACTTTCTGGCAAAACAGAATGATGATTTGATTTTAATGGTTACAACCATTGCTACAACTGAGAGAGAAGTTCATACTCAGCCCTGATGCACAACACCACAGTAAATATTTCCCAACCTTTCTGGCTTTGACACCCTTGCCTACAACACACTGAAGGCACCATTCCACAGGGAACAGCAACCTGAGCTGATGGATCACATTACTCTGCCTGCAGCCCATCACTGCAACACAGATTAAACCAGAACTATGTCACTGTCACAGTGCTCCTCCTCCTGAAGCCAGTCCTCTGTGCACAGCACTGGAGCAGCTTGGATGCTTTGTACCAAACTTTTTGGCTCCCTCTTGTGTCAAGAGAACAATAGGAACAGCTGGACACACCTCCATGGATTAGACCAGGGCTGCAGGGATGAAAGGCCAAGGATGAGCCCATGACCTGGTATTTCCCTTATCTTCTCTCCCACACAAAAAGTATGTTAAAACCAAATGAGAAACACTCCCTAACTGAAGATGCTTTATGGGAAAAAAGATGGGGAAATAAAACAACTGTGTGAAGGTTAGAGACAGAGAGAAGTTCCCTCTTTCCTTTTGCATTTGGCTGAACCACCAGCAGTTTTCTTAGTTCCAACACACAAATGAGGCATATAAGATTTATGATGAGCACTCTGTCAGATGTCCCAGTTTGCAGTGACCATAGGTTATGTAGTCAAGCTCTAGAAGGATGAAGGACCCAGCAGCTGGGACTGGGAAATAACCAAAGGGTAACTAAGCCTAAAACATGGCATTTAACACACTGCATTCTTGTAAAACCTGGCAAGATCACTACTTTTTGAAGCTGGTACCTAAACATTAAAAAGAAAAATAGTATCTTCCTCTTCTCATGTGAACTGTGCTTGTCTGAAAACTCAGTGAGAAAATGAGAAGGAATATGACCTTTTTTGCTACAGGCCTTTTTTGCAGACAGTCATCAGGAGTTCACTGGAGAAGCCTTGTGCCTTATTTATCGTGTGCATACCATGCAAAATTCTTCTATTAATTTTTAAAGCTGCAAATATTACCCTGCCCCCTTCCTGCTCATCCCCATATTTCTCTTAAATTCAACCACAGCACCACCTCAATATCCCAGAAAACCCACCCAAATGCTTCTAGGCTAAAGCATATTTCACCTGTCAGCAACTTCACTGAAATAGAGTCCTAGCAGTAAGCTTCAAAGATAGGATCTTAGCTCTCTTTTACTTGCAATGAATAATATCATGACAGCCTTATGGAGTCTCAGGTGATAACTAGGATCCCTGGGCAGCAGGACCTTGAGAACATAAGAAATGCAAAAAGTTCTACAAGACACACTCAAAACACAGCATATTTCAAGCACTTTGGGTTCTAGGCTCAGAGTGCTCACATCTTCACTTCTTTCAAGCATTGCAGCAAGAGGTGTTCCAGAAAAATGAGGCTTAGAACAGGAGAAAGCATAAATTACTGTGACTTACTGTATAAGGGATTATTAGTAACTTTGAGTAATGAAAAAGAGTTTTGGTGAAGGGTGGAAAGTAACTGAAAACAAAAACTGGATCACCAGCCAACAAAACTGCCCTCAGGAGTAACATGATGCTAGAAAAGTAGATCGTGATCTTTTTTGTGACAAAAAGTTGTTGGCTTTTTTATTTAATCTAGAAAAAATTATATTTTAAGACCTCACACAAACCCACTACCAACAGCTTGGTGTATATTAAGAAATTTATTTTAAAGGTAAATTATTGAAATAAAATTGACCTTTCTTAAGGTATACTACTCTATTTTCCATTCAACTACTTGCTAAATTGTGCCAACAAAATAAATATTATTTGGTTAAAACATAATGGTCTTGAGTTATGCAGATAATTAGCTCTGCCATCAAATAGTGTAACTGAAGGATAAACCCAGTTCTATGAAGTACATGGACTGCATCTTTCACCCTGGAATGAGACACCTGTATTCCAAAATTTGACACTAAGCCTACAAGAAGTCAGACCTAAACCACACCACAGTATTGCATAAATCTATCCTACTGACCAATAAACACTAATTTGAAAACATAGGTTGTTGGAGGGATTTAAAAGTGGCAGGGTTTTATAGAGAAAGGCTGACCTGCTCTTTTTCCAGTATAAAAAATATTCTGTCAAGGCCTGTGAATTTTATTTCCATGTGAGTCATAATTAACATCTTACTTCACTGACCAACATAATAAATACTAATTTCCCCAGACTGTCCCTAAACAAAGGATTAAAGATCCATTTCCCAAAAATGCACCCAAAATCTTATCTGCTAGCTTAAACAAAACATGTGACACATTTATTTTTATTTTCAAACAATTTGGGCATTTCTTCTTGCTTGAAATAGATTCTATTGTATTAGGATGCTACATGTCAATACATCAGAATGACATGAAAAATCTTTTAAATTTTTCATTTAAAAGTCTGAATTCAGCTGTCTAAACACCAGCCCATAGTGCCATGTGGGGTGTACAAGCTAATATGAAATAACTGCCTAGGACTTCCTGGCTACGTAAACCTAGGATGCCCTAAGGCCTTTAACTGGGATAAACAGTGACATTTAGGCAACTGAACTGGCCTCAGAATCCTTATGTTTTCCAGAATTTGTTTCTATTTTCTGCTAAAGCCATATTTATCCAACCTGTTCAAAACAAATCTGCAAATATTTGCAGCTTGCTACAAATGTTCTTTTCCACCTAGCAGAAATTGCATATTACTTCTTTGCAGCTCACTAGTTAAGGAGGGCAAAAATAATTACAGGGTTAGCTGAAAAGTCTTTATAAAAGCTGCTTCCAGAAGATTATTCAGTAATTAAAAATCTTTCCATAGAACACTTTATTTTGGTGGAAAACATAAACCTGTATCAAGACAGAGAACCACCTGAAAATTAAAAAAAAGTTAAATTTATGGCAAACCCATAATTTCTGTGATATAAACACATTCCAGTGAGATAGAAAGATTTCCTGGGTTTTGGAGACACATATCTGGGCCACATGCCTCCATTAAAGACTTTGACATTAATCCACACCATCTGTCCAGAGTGTCATTTTGCCTGCCCAAATCCAGCAATCAGGGCTTCAAGGCCTGAAATCAGGGCAGAAAGGCCAAATACTGGAAACACTGCAGATTCCTCTAAGACCTTTCATTTAGGCCACCTGAAAATGACTTTGGCTAAAGAGAGCAGAACAAGAGCCCTCCTAAACAAAAAAGTGAGGTGTTCACATTGCCCATGCAGAGCCCAGAACCTGGACTGCTCTGCAGACAGATGGTCAACCTTGCACAACATCTGCTCTCTTTTAAGTTTCCAGTGCCTGGAGAGGCTCTTTAAATCTATTCCCAATACCAATAATGGGTATTTCTGCAGCCAGAAGCCTCCTCCCAAGGACCATGCTTTTCTCCATGCCATTTACATACATACCATTAATTTGCAGTGCTGCTTTCCCTGCATTTTGTCCCCAACTTCTTGTTTAAGCTGGTCTAATTCTGAGAGAGCCTGCATCAAATGAGTTTTGGTTTCTTCACACCTTGTTTCAGCAAAACCAAGCTCTCTGTACCACTTCTGAGCCTAACAGGAAGAACAAAAATTCCTCAGTATAATCAGTCCAGCAGTGGGATCCTTTCTCAATTCCAGCTTACAGCCATGGATTTGAGGCTGCTCTCTACATCATAGCTTTTGAATTGTTATAAATTGATTAAAATAAATGAAGTTATACAATACACTGCAATGTTATCATAAGATATTAATGCAACTCTAAAAGTATGCCCTATAGAATATCTCACTAGAGCTATGACAAAAAATATTATTTAAATTTATTTCTAAACATGAAGCTACCATGAATATTATGAATAAAGTTTAAAAAAGCTGTGATGTATGCACACATGATTTCAGAGATTACATCTTTGAAAGCCCTCAGAGCAAAGTAAAAGCAAATTTTTTATTAGCTGGGCAGGGGGAAAAGGTTTTCTTGAGGAACATGCCCTGGTTTCAACTGGGACAGAGTTAATTTTCTCCTTAGTAGCTGGCACAATGCAGTGTTTAATTCAGTATAAGAATCAAAACAAAAATATCAAAAGTGAAGAATGCAAAGAAGGGGAAAGAAAGCCCTCCATATACTTACCTTTTAATTTTTTTCTAGGCTGCCTTCATTCCACTTACACACATTAACTGTAGTTTTGAAAACAAAAGTAAACCTAAACCAAAAACCACAAAGAAGCCCCTCAATAGCTCAGCTGGTTGCCTGACAGCAAGTTCTTTCCTTTGTATGATATATCATTTTTTCTCCCTTCTGGAAGCAAAGGTTTCACATTATTTTAAGTAAACTGAGGAAAGTATTTTAACACACAACTTCCTTATAACACACAAAAGGATTAGAATGACCCAAGTTAATCAGATTTTACAAAAGAAACAAAAATAAAACTGTCTCTTTATGTTCAAAATAAAAGGTCAGAAATCCTTGTCTAACCATCCAACATCATCTAAATCCATCCCTTCATTCCAGTTGCCTCGCTTGAAAGCTGGGAAGTCTTATAAAGCAGCTGTCAAAGGACAATAAATTCATACAACCACCACAAAAACACCATTGCAATTTTTCTTTTACATACTCAACACACCTGCTGCTGCCAATGGTTTGTCCACAAGGCATGTGAGTGATGCCTGTTACAACCCCATAAATATATTCCTGCCACAAAAACAAAACATTCTGCTTAGATGTGCATGGAGTGGAGATTGACTAATAAAAAATAGCAATGTGAACATCTGGTGCATTTGGAAAGGCACAACACTGAAAGCTTCCTTGGATGGTGTCTAAAGTGCAGATTTACCCCACCCAGGCACAGAGCTACCCCTCCACACTGGGAAGTCTCTGAGAAGGTGTTGCTGGACGTGGTGTTGGCTGCTCAGCTGTGGGAGAAGGGGCAGCACGCCTGGCGATGCCTCTGGGTACAGCAAACCCCCGACATTTATCTGGCTCCTCACTCAAAAACTGCTCTCAATCCAGCTTTGCAGCAACCCTCAGTGCTTCCACTGCCTTCTCCTCCTCCTCATTCCCAGTGGTGTGGAGGGAAGCAGCTGCCCAGAGATGCCAGAGTGGGCAGGTTGTTGTGTGTATCAGGGCACCCAGCCTCTGGCACAGTGTGCTGCAGGAATGCAGCTTCACTTGATGTTCTGGCCCGCCAAGAGTGACTGTGACATTCATCACTCAAAGATCAGAGGAACATTTAGGTTCTCTAGATCAGAGACTTCCTGTTTTGTGAAAGTGCTAGAGCCTGGCAGAAAGAAGACAGACATGAAACAAAACACAAGAAAAAAAACAAATTTGGTCCTCAGAAGTACATCAGAGTAGAAGCTTACCTCTTTTTTAGATTTTTCTAATTCCTTTTGCTGTATTTTTAGTTGCTCTTCCACCTTTCTGACCTGCTCTTTCATCATACTGTAGCTTTCAAACATGCTGCCCTGAGTAGACAAAAAAGACATGATGACTCCTCTCACCTGTACCAAATGGCACCCAGTCTTTCATAGAACAATAGATGGTTTCCTCTTAAACTACTACAAAAAATTGCATAAAATCAAGGAATTACATATAAATATTTCCCTGTTGACTATTCTCAAGTAAAGTAGTAATTCTGCATTTATAATTACATAGTAACATCCACAGAAATTCACTGTGGTGTAAGATACATGGCTACAGAGGAAAAACATGGATAAGAAATCCACCACAACTAAAGATCCTGTCTTTAGAGATATGCTTCATATACATCAAAACAATAAAAAAAAGTAGACCAAATAAAAAAATAAATTATCATGTACACACTTTTCACCAAAACATGGTATTTTCACCATTATAAAAAGTTACCTTCTGTTAGGAGAACTTGTAGTAGAATAAAAGCTTCTTGTAAAAGCTTTTACTCTTGCAATAGCATAAATAATTTTTTTAAAAGCCTGAACAATGCAGTCTTTTAAGTACTATTTCTAACTTTGTAGCTTGGTGTATCACTTTAACATTCTCAAATACAACATTCCAAAAACAACCCCTCTCTGGCATTTTGCCTTCTATTTCGAAGTTAACTTTAGCACCTCAGCTCATGTTAGAGGCTACAGTTTCCTCCATCACTCAGATTTGCCCTCCAATTGACATTTGTATCTCCCTTTCTTTAGAAGATCTTGCTCAATAACATTCCTTACTGTTATTATTTACCTTTTGCCCAGAATAATCTGAAGGATCTACAGCCAGAACTCCCTGTTCTTCAGTTTGTGTTACACTACATGCTGTTTCAACTTTCTTTGGCTTAAGACGAGGTTGTTGACTTTCTTCTTTTAGTTTTACAATATTTTTCTTTGTTCCTATACTTTCCTCTTTTCTCAGCTCTTCATAGGTGAAACCCAAAGAAGACATTAACTCTTTTAAATTTTTATTTTCTAAAATAAAGTTTGTATTTGCTTTCTGAAGTTCATCAAGCCGTTCTGAAGTTTCTTGCTTGATTCTGTCTATCTTTCTTTGCAGTACATGTTTTTCCTCCTGTAAGTCAGAAATGGTTTGATAACAGCTAGTTTTGCAGTCTTGGAGTTCTGAAACTAAGGTCCTGTATTTGTCTTGCTCACACTTTATCTCTGCCAAATGTGCCAACAAAGTTTCTTTTTCGCCTTCTGAAAGAGCTATTCTTTGTAAATTTCTCTTTCTCTCTTGCATTAATTCATTATATTTTGCTACACAGTTCTCCTTGTCTTGTAATAATTTAGCCATTTCTTTGAAGCACCTGCTTCTTTCTTCTTTCAGGTCAGAAAGCAGCTGGAAGTACCTCATTTTCCTTCCATTCAGGGATAGAGCACTCCCATGAAGTTTATTTGGTGCAATTGTCCATGAGTCTTTTTCAGAATTCCTATTTTTCTCTTCAACATATGAGAGATTGTTGGAAAAAGTTGCAACTAAAAATGTTCCTGGGGTCATGGTGCTTTCTCCTGTGAGGTTATCATAACACCCATCTGCAACTTCTTTCTCATTAAGTAAGTTTTGGAATGAAAGAACGTTAGCTTCATCTGCTGCTAAAACATATTGAAAATATGCATCCATCTCCTCTTCCAGGGCACACATCATCTGGGCATATTTGTCATTCTCCTGTTGTAATATGCTGACTTTTTGGGCGTAATTCTCATTCTCTTGCATCAGCAGAAATATCCTCTGAGAACACGCAGCCACTGCTTTTTCCAGTACAGATATTCTCACAGTACATTCATTTCCAGCTTCCCAGGTTGATAGAGGACAGAAAAACTTATAAAAACTTTTCCTTGGCTGGAATAGTTTGCTTATGCACACAGGCCTCTCTTGCAGAGGAAACAGCAATTTAAGTGGATATCTCTCTTCATCTGATGAAAAAAAGTTCTGAGAGTATTCATGTTGCACATTTTTAGCAGCTATTTTTTGACATGAGAAATCCTTACTTGGTTCATGGAGTTTCAAGGTCTGATCTTTCCTTTTTTTCAGGCTGATATTGCTGGAGGGACTTGTTTGGTGAGTTGGTTTCTGAGTCTGCTTTCCTTTCGCTTCCATTTCAATTATGTCTTCTCCATTACATCCTCTATTCACATCAGGGATGCAGTTTTCTGAAGTCTTTTCTTCTTTCTCCATTCGTTCAGGACTCCCTCCAAAACACTTTTTAAAGGCTTTGGAATCAACAGGTAAACTTTGGGCACCCTGCATGCTATGGAGACTCTCTCTGGCTACCACTCCTGGCTTCCCACGACTGAATAATTCAGTTTTGTAGGAAACTTTAGAACTTTCCTCAAGATCACAGGTCACCTGTTGTTGTTGGGCTTCATCATTCTGTATTTCCTCTCTTTCAGCTCTCCCTGTAAAGATTTTTTGGTGATACTTTTCATCATCCACCTCTTTATCCAGACATTTTTTTTCACTTGCACTTCCTGGCAGAATTTGCTTGTTTCCCCAATGTTTTTCCATGTTGCATTCTTCTAGAGATGTTGTGAAAATTTCAGCCACAGCGGAAGGCAACATTCCATGAAGAAATTCAGTAGCTCTGTCATAAAATCCTCCTTTTGCAACAATGCAAAGGCCATCAGACCAAAGATTAGTATTTGTCTCACAGAAACTCAAATTCCTCACTTTCTTCTCAGTGGTGAAAGCTGCTATGTTACATCTTCCAGGTTCAAACAAGGTCAGTTGGAGCTTCTTCCTCATTAAGATTTCAACCACAGAAGCAGGGAATGTCTTCACTGGTGGAGTTACAGTGTGTTCCTTCAAGAGACAAAAGGTTTCTTCATCTTTGGTTTCCTTACTTGTCTCATCACTGGGTAACTTCTCAGAACAAGGGGGAAGCAGTCCTGCTGCATGATGACTTGGGGTACACCTGAGCAAAGTGAAACTGTCCTCTAGAGTATTTGCCCTCCGTGGTCCGAGGGTGACCTAATGACAGCAAAAGAGAAATGTTTCAAGTTGAAAAATAATGCTACAGTATGTTACTAATCATAATTTGTTTTTTCCTTGATACTCAAAATACTTGATTACAGATCAATGAGGAAAAATATTTCCATACAAAGGGTTTTCAAATTATTTAAAGACTTGCAACAAGAGTAATGTTAGAAATTAGGTATGAGTAATACAACCATTGTCTTAGTGCACATCTGTATTCACCTTGTAAAGCATCTGTAGTAGCTATAATTTAAAGCTACTTTTATATTCACCTTTAAATACACCAACTCTTCATTTTCTCTCCAATTTCACATGCTCCCTGTGCACAAAGATAGCAAGAACAGCAGTTATTTTTCTTCTCACCTGCTCAGTCTCAGCTAGACCAGCAAATTTCACAAAGCCACTGGAACTGCATTCCAAAGCTGGTACAAGGTCTTCTGGTAGCTCCTCCATCTGCTTTAGTCCCTCACAGCTACAGGCTGGTGTTTCTGTTACGGTAAAGCACTGGTAAATGTAATGTCACTCCCAGATAGTTACCCAAAAAGCAAACCCAAAGCCATCAGAGCAGATGTTCTGAATAGAAAAATATTTTAGTGAAAGAATGCTTAAAATTGCCTTCTGTACCAGCAGCATACATCACCACTGATTCAGATACAAGCATGATGTTAGGCACGAAAATGAGCTTCATAAAAATCCCATAAATATCGAGGCCTAAACCAAGGTGTATTTGGGGTTCACGGTTTCCAGTTCCCAAAGCATTTAGAAATGGAAAATACATTTCATTACAGTGGGCAGGTAAAAACTTAGGGATTAAATTTACAGGTTAAAATTACTCAGTGCAGGTCTGCATTTACATACACTAAAATTTGCTATAAAAGTCTCATTAATTTATGTTGGAAGAATTTACCTGATATAATCTGCCAAGAAAAGAGCTTTCATGTTGTTTGGTCTGAAGAGCAAATCTGTCTGCTGCATGGCATTCCCAAATACTATACTTCATCCAGAACATACAAAGTACCTCCTCACCTCTGCAGTTTCTTGAAAGTTCTAGGATTTCTTGTGAAAGCTCATATCTGAATAGTGGTAAACAATTATCATTTCACCTTCCCCAGATACAGTTTACAGATTAGGAGGATTTTCAAAAGGTTTACACTTTTTAAGTCATACACATACCATGAATGAAATCATCTTCACTTTATTGGCACGGAAATGAAAGGAATAAGTCAGATTTCTTTGCATACCAGACTCTTTATCATGTAGCAGCACAACTGGAGTTTGAGTAGCTCTGCTTCTGAGTGAATCCAAGACTGCCCTCCATTTTGGATTCTGAACTTCATCTTGAATTAGATCTCCATTCTTAATGGGAAAGGGGTGGAGAAGGAAAAAACCCACAGGTTATATATATATATATACAGGTGTTTGTGATATGAAAAACAGGCAAATAAATTTCCTTTGCTATTTTACATTCAAAAGGCCCATTATTTCATTAGAACTGCTATTGTTTCATACAATTTTCTTATTTCAACATTTTCCAGTAAATAATTTTTTTTTAATAATTCACAACATTTCCAGCTGTAATCATAAACTTTCCTTTAGTTTTCCCTTCATACTTTACAAAGCATTAAGGAAGAAAATCTGAGTCACAAGCACATAATATATCAGATCACAGGTGAAACAGTGGCTAAATTATATGGTCATCAACAAAGATGAAAGAAAGTCCAATCAAGTAGGGAATAAGACTAATCGTTCAGTGCCCAGCTACAAAGACAATTGTTCCTAGGTTGGAAGAACTCCAAGTGGAATAACCATTCTGAACAAAATTTTGTTTTTCCATTGATAATTTAATTGCATATTTCATATTCTGTTCTTGACATTTATGTTGAGTCCCTGATTGAATTTGAAAATTTTGACACTTCCTGATGCAAAGCAGATATCCCTATTGCTTGACAACAGCAGGTCACATTTCACATGCACTGTGCTCATTTTCAGTAAACAGAAGAATCAGATTTGACTGTCTCAACAAAAACACATCATTGAGACAGTAACCAAAACAGCTACACCACAGAAACCAAGACAACACAGGCACTTTTGTCTTCCTGCAGTGCTTTGCATCAAAAGCCAGAAGAAAATAAATCTGATCACTTTGCACTGAGCTGCAATTTTAAAATTACATATGCATGGAAAGGCAATGACTTCCAAGTCTTCAGTTCCTAGTGAGTCAGAAAAGGCTGCTGATTTTCCACAGGACCACCAGTGAGAATAATTTTTATTTCAGCCCAAGTCAGCTGCCTCATTGTTGTGCTCTATCAAAAGATCTTGACTGGGAGGCACTTAAGTGGAAACCACGACACTTCCAAGATTTCTTCTCTTATTTTCTTCGTAATATCAACTAATAGAATAGAAACTAATAAACTAATAGTTTGGGTTGAAAGGTATCTTAAAGGTCATCTAGTTTCAACCACCCTGCCATGAGCAGGGACACCTTCCACCAGACCGGGTTGCTCAGGCCCCATCCAGCCTGGTCTTGAACACTCCCAGGGGCAGGGCATCCAAAACTCTCTGTGCAACCTGTTTGAAACTAATGCCAATTCCCTGAAACACAACCATTCCTTTCCTGCACCTTTTAATTTATTTCTTTACAGATATCAACTCTTGATTTAAATGTGGGTACTGTGAAAAGAAAGTTACACAAAATGATGAATAAGACACAAGGCTCAGGTGGCAAAACATCACACTGAGAAATCAAGACCTCAGCTGTCATGTGGAAGCTGCAGAAAGATTCATTGCTTGGTTTTTTCATACTTTTCCCTCACCTTCAACAGACCCCCCTAATGCTCACATGTAGAAACTGATAAACTCTCACAGAGCCACATGTAACAAGCTGCTTTTTTTGGTGTATGTTCATTTCTCATTCAGGCATGTACTGCAACTGGAATACTGCAGACAGGATGCTGAGTTTGGAAATTCAAGTTTTCCACAAGATTTACTTGGAGACTACACTTCACCATGAGATGCAGTTCACCTCTTGTATTGCACACAATTTCTCATTCTTATAGCTGTTGATGGAGTATGATGAGATCAAATAGGATTTTTCTTGTAACTGTTTTGGCTTAAATACTACAAGATCGAGGTGCTGAGACTGAGAAATTCTATTTTAATACATGCTGGTAAAACTCCAGATAAGGGGGGAAAACCCTTTTCAGTTTTACAGAAAAAACACCAGATGTCTCCCTCCTCCTTTTATCATGGAAACTGATTTTTTTTCCCCTGCTATATCAAGTCATTTTCTACTAGAAAAATGCAAGTGTACTTGCAGTACCAAAATAGGAGGAAGAGACAATCAGAAATGCAGAAGGCACAGGATTTAATGCTGCTGATTCTATACACAGTATTTAAAGAACACTATCCACTCTGCAGCAGAGTAAAGTAAAATTAAGGCCTGTTCATTTATACCAAAGACTGGGTAACTGAGACTCTAGTCTCCTATGACACCAGAAATGTAAGTTAATACTTCAAAAATAAATGGTCAGAAAGCTTCTTGTAGAGGAAAAAATAGGCTTTTATTAGAGTACAAGATAGAAAGAAGACTTTTCTTCAAGACTGTTTCTTGAAGACTTCTGGATTGGTCTCAGGCAATTATTCAGTTGTGTATCTTGCTTTCCCATCTTTAAATAGCTCTTTTTTTTTCTCCTTTTCTCAATTTTATCAAACCAATAGTAATTTTTCACTACTTCTCTGGCTCTGAAAGCCCTCACTCCTCTTGACTTTAGCTGTGCAGTACCTCATAGTGCATTTGTCTGTTATACCTGTTTACAACTCAGTGCAAGTCCCTCTAGAAGGATCTTAAAGTATTTTCAAACGATATTCTTCATTCCCAAGGAAAAGTGAATCCAACAGTTAAAGTGATGATAGCAATGGTTCATGGTAAGCAGCTGGTCTTTCTGCCACCTTGGGGCAGCTCCAGACACATGGGGTGAGCTGCAGCTCTGAGCTCTCCTCAGAGGTCACAACGTGCTGCTGGTTACTGCAGGATGACCTCACCACTCTCTCACAGAGACCTCGTGGGGCTCACTGCTTTGGGATCTAGAATTACTGATGGCATAAAATCACCAGGCCTGCAAAAGTGCGTTCCACTACCAGGTTCAAAAAAGGTCTATATTTCCTCTAGCTTTATGGATACAAGATCCTCTCTAGCTTCTCCCAGTTCTGGAAGTACTCACAGTCTGACTGACCTCCAATATGAAAGGGTTTTGTTCATGCCCATTGCCTCTTGGTTAGCTGCAGTTAAAATCAGGAGAGTTCTTGGGATATCAGGTCACAATCTGAATGAGTGTGAGGCATAGCTGATCTCACTTTATTTAAAGTCTCAATAAAAATACCCTGCACCTCAGTGCATGAAGAATAAAACTTTGTTTGAGTCCACGCTGTGAAAATAATTGTTCCTTGTCAGCAAAATGAATTGGCAGAAGCTGAATGCCATATTACAGCATGAGCAGAGCTTTCCCATGCAGTGCTGGGGTGAAATGCTCAAAGCAAACAAGTCCCATTCAGTGTATTCAGGGCATATCACAATGCTGCAGAGCCACAAACCACTGACTGGCTCAGCTCATTTGTCATGAATGCTGCCTCCATCTTCCCTTGTTTACCATCATCCAGAAAATCTCAGAGACAACATTTATTGTCAAGAGTGTTTTTTGCTCCAGCATTTGGGCATGAATAACATGCAAAAACTCATCCAACCATTTGTGTCCTCCTCCACTGAGGGGTGTCCACAAGGCAGGTCTCAGAAGTTCTGGGCACTGCTTTTAGTGCCAATCTCATTCAGATTGAGACCTTTTGCTGTGAGCACATCACTTCAAAGGTTAAGGAAAAAAGGTTTGTTGAGGGTCCTCAATGTGCACATAAAAAAAGCTCTGATGCAATGAAGCTCCAACTACTGATTCTATGGGGTGTGAAAGAGACACTGGAAAGAACTAATGAATAAACAATAATAAAAAAAAATCAGGCAGGATAAAGCCTCACACTTGCATCTTGATTGTACCTCTAATGACAGGTGTAATCCAGGGGTGATACAAAGATAAAAACTAATTACATTTTGCATTATTTTTACTTACCAGTTGACTCACCAGATTAACACTGTTGTCCCCATCCACCAATCTTGTAAGTTCTGAGTATTTTTCTTTCTTCTTTTTCAACTTCATAGTACCTTCATCTTTTAAAGTTCTATTTTCATCTAAAAGCTCTTCCACTTTTTCCTGTAGCTTGATTACAGATAATTTTAAACTATAGACATGATGGTGAGATTCTTCCAATTTTGTTCTGAGAAAGTCTTCAGTGTCCTGAGAGCACTGCAGTTCAGTCAGCAGGTCTGCCTGTTCTCTTCTAGTGTTCTCTTCTTTTTCCCTCAAGGACTTCAGGTTTTGCTGAAATGCCTTAAGGTGGCTTTTCAAATCATGCTCCACATTTTCAATACAAGTCTTCCATTCCATTTCTTCCCTTCCAGGGTCTTTACAGCCCTGAGTCCCACTGCACACTGACTGCAGCTTCTGCCAGAGGTGCTGCACCATTCCCTCTTCTAACTTGGATGTCAAAAGAGCAATATGGGCATTAAGATCTAGGACTTGCTTTTCCAGCCTAGACACCTCATCCTGAAGGTGACAGTCCCTTTTCCTCAGTACTGCTGTCTGTTGTCTCTGCCTTCGTTTGTAGTGCTCAAAATATTCTGACTGGCTTTTTATTTCATCCTCTTTTGTCTTCAGCTGCTCTTGAAGCCAATGCAATTTTTCCTTGTGCTTCTTCTCTGACTTCTTTTGGCTTCCTACCTATCATTTCAGTAAGGAATACAGTTAACAACTGTTAATAACTGTTCACTTATAATTTTTCTTAATTTAGTGATAATTCTGCCCTTGTTTTCTGAAAGCTCATGAATGACACAAGTAGAATTTTTTTAAAGCAAGTAAAATGCTGGATTTAGAGCAAAAATAACCTGCTTTGTAATTTCAGCCATCATCAAATATCTCTGCCATCACCAAACATCACCAAAACATCTCAGCAGGAACCAAATAAAACAAACTCATCCACATCTGCTACTACATGATATACAGGAACCTTTTAAACACATTTTTGAATGTTCTAAAGTACATATCCATTGCTCTTCACTACACCTGTCATCTGTTGGCTCCTCTTATGAGACTGCTGAAAAAGGGGAAAGGAACAGATGCCTTTTGAAACACTTTGAGAAAGACTTTGGCATTTTCCTTTGCACTACAGTGTGTTTGAACACAGAGACTTGGAGGTGAAAGATGCCAGTGAAAGGCAGGAGAGGCTTTCATGAGTCCAGTACTGCCCTTGCTTTGAGCAGAGTAAAAGCCACCAGAATCACAGGGACATTGCAGCAACTTTGAAGCAAGACTGAAGGCACAGAGACATGAAGGAATGACTTTGGTTTTTTCAAGGACTTCTTTAGATCAGTCATTTTGATCATCAGTACCTTCCTAGACTGGTCAGAAGGAACACTAGGCTGAAAAGTCAGGTAGATGTGGGCCAATATTTTGTTTTGGAAACTCTTGATGGGAATATATATCTAAGCTTCCCGAGTTTTGAAAAATAGTTTCCACTTTTAATTACAAAAGCAGAGACTATTTCTCATTGAATAGTCCATTGAATCATTCCTCTTATGAATCTTGCCACACAATACCTGTTAGAGTATTCAACTTTGACCTAAAATGCTGAGAAAAAGAAAGGATATCTTATGATAAACAGAATTGAAAGACATTGTTTCATTGAAGCCTGTTCCTGAAAACCTTTCATTCTTTCTCCATTTTCATGGATCCATCAAATGAGCAAACTAGGTAAAAATGCCTGTTGTATGGGGCTAGAAAGATAAAAGTCTGACCTAAGAAGGAGTACACTGAGCAGGTCCTAGGGAGAAAGTAAGAAGGGGGAGCATAAATTTGATCAAGGGCCTGAATGAGAGAAGTAACAGCAGTGCTATCAAAAAAAACAGAGAAATAGAAATCTGGGAGGCAAAAAAAAAAAAAAATCAAAAAATTCTTCTGATTTCTCTTTGGTTGTAGCAAAAGAGAAAGGCTGAGACCATTTATTGCTTTAAAACAGAGGTCACTGGAGATGAGCTTGACTTATAAATTAGTACCTCAAAGAGGAAATAAACTAGGTCATTTGAAACAACATCCCCTCACCAAGTGGATCAGGTCCTCCTGAATGCTTTGCAGTTTCCCTTTAATGCGCAGATTGGCATTTTCAACCCGGTCCAGCTTCACACAAAGTTGATCAATCCTCACAAGAAGTGTTTTGTGTGACAGCTCCAGCTCTTTCATCCTGTGATATCAAGAATGAACATTTTTGCTAAGTAAATACCACAGCACAGTTCCAGATGGATAAGCAGTCACAAGCAATGCATCAATTTATCTTTTTTTTTTTTTGCATTTGTCTCCCAAAAACAAAATAGTAACAAATTTTTGATCACTAATATAACAAATATAACAAATACTTAATTCCTAACAAGTCTGCTGGGGTTTGCATATTATGCTGGAGAGTGTCAAAACTGTTAAAGAATACCTTTCTGCTGACTTAATAAGGATACCATAAGCAAACACATGTACAAGATTTTTGTTCAATGGAGTTTACCATGCTATATGAAATAACAACTCACCATAAAGACAACCACAACACTTCAGTCTCTGCATGTACCTGATCATAGGATTATGGCAGGTTCACAGTCAGTGAAATTCAATTTTCATGACAGTAAATGCTTCCCATCAAAATTAATATTATGGGCAACCTACAAGTACCTCTATTTTAGGGGTTGAAGTGAAAATATCTTACTTGTAACAGGCCTTCAGTGGGTACTAAACCTACAGTGCATAATTGTTTTGACTTTGTCCACAAAGATGGATTTTGACAAAATACAGGTTTGCTTTGCCTGTTGCTAGTCAAATGGTATGAAGTGTGATATAAAAATAATTTTACAAAGATTATTATTTTGGAAAAAATCCCATTATTAAAATATTTCTGACAAAATTCCTTGATGAATTCAAAGCAATTAAAAAATATACAAATAAATGTTTTAATGTCATTTATATTTCCTATTCTTTTTAACTTTTCTATTCTTTAGAACAGTGCTGACTATCAAAACCTTATTATTCTAGTCAAATGTATAATTAATGCATAATGGCACCTTCATCTACTGTAATGGTTAGCATTGACACACTAAATTAGATGAAGCTTTCTGAAAAAAGGAACTTCTTTTACAACACGAAATTCCAAATTAAATCTTATTTTAAAAAAATAAAATAAAAAATAAAAATCTTATTTTATTTGACAAACAGAATTTGCATCATATGAATATTTAAGAATGAAACATCCTGAGAAAGCTGCCTGGTTATTTGCAACAATATGCTAGACCATGCTGTAAAACTTACTTAAATAAGAATTCTTAAAAAATTATTATTGCATTTCTATTCTGACAGATATACAAAATACACACGAATCTTCTCCAACACTCTAAAACCACAGAAAGTCTTTTTTCTGGTTCTGCATGTATCATTTGACAACCAGTACACAGGGCAAAGTGAAGAGTACATTTGTCACATAACAATAAATTTTAATGCAAACCCCCCCTTTCATTTACCTATTTCTCAGGATGGAATTTGACTCCACGCAGTCCTCTAGAACACCTTTCAGTTTTTCCCTTGACTTTTCCAGCTCTTTTATTCTGAGAGTCAAATTCTCATCTCCAGCACTGTTTACTTTTTCCTCAGGTGTGCCTGCATCTTCTAATTCCTGGAAAACCCAGGAAGTGGCAATTTTAACACTGAAATTCAGGAGAGCAAATTCTTCATTACTGGGCATCCTAATACAGTAACAAAATTCTTGTTCTCTTCCAGATGAGGGATCCATGATGAAAAAGAGCCCAAATTAGGTTCTCAATGTACTACAGTCTAAGCATGCAGTAACAGAGTCTAAGCCTCTGATGATCAAATGAACAGTCCTTCTTGATTCCCAACACATTTATTATTTATGAGAAAGTCTCATTTCATTAGCCCCATTAGCATGTGTGAAGGGAGTTGTCATTCACAACAAGAGATCCCCATAAAAGATTCAGTTAGACTAATTAATAAAGGAATTAGTCATCAAAGTTTTGAAAAGAGAATAATTTTCTACTAAACATGGGAGTTCATAAAACTGAGTGTGTTTACTTTGGATAAATATATTACATTATTATTGTTTCAAGGCAGAAGACTAAAAAAGGATATTTCCTATTCAAAAGGCATTCTATAACTATTTCAGAGAAATGATTTATTTAATTGATATTTTGGATTTCTGCATACAGTATTTTATTTGTATCTACTTCACTTCTGACAGGTCATGAAACCATAGCTGAAAGAAATTTTCAAATTTGGGCTTGACAAGGCAAGCTAATGTTGGTTCTTTTCTTCTGCCTCTTAGTCACAGATCTAAAAATTCTTCAGAAACTCACTTGAGTAAGTTTAGTCTTAGAACTGTGTCCTGGTTTCTGCTGGGACAGAGATAATTTTCTCCTCAGAAGCTGGCACAGTGCTGTGTTTTGGATTTGGGATGAGAATAATGCTGATCACACTGATGTTTTGGCTGCTGCTCAGCAGTGCTCACCCTGTGTCAAGGACTCTTCAGTGGCTCCTGTCTGCCAGTGAGGAGCTGCACCAGGAGCTGGGGGGGAGCACAGCTGGGACAGCTGGTCCAGACTGTCCAAAGGGATATTCCACACCACAGAGCTTCATGCTCACTATACAAACTGAGGGGAATTACCCAGGAAGGGACTGATTGCTGTCCAGGAACTGGGAGGCCATTGGTCAGCAGGTGGTGGGAAACTGTCGTGCCAAGCACACTTGCTTGTCTTGAGTCCTGTTAAATTCTTCCTCTTTCTCCTTATAATTAATATTATTAGCATATTATTATAGTAATATTTTTTCTCAGTTATTAAATTGTTTCTCAACCCAAGAGATCTACCTTTTCTTTCTGATTCTCTTCCCCACCAGGGGAGGGAGGGTGTGGAGGGACCAAGGCTGCATGGTGCTGGCTGTCAGCTGGGTTCAACCTCAACCAGCTGGCACCTGTGAAATGATTAAATGATTTTGCTACATTTGTGTTGCTATGGAATTGGATCTGTTACTGGAATTCGACCAGAGTTTGGATTTATTACCAAGGAAATAATGCAATTACTGTTGGTTTTTTGGTTTTTTCTTGGCAGACAAATGCTGAATCTACAGTGCAAATAAGAAGATAAAAGTAACTTTTTTATATTGATGAGTAGAAAATGGCACAAAATCAGTGCAAGAAGAATAAGAAACCCAGTTCTCTTATCACCTCATGTTTTGATGTTTTGTTATGTGCTATTCACACAAAGTTACATAGAGTAACTTTGGTCAATTGTATGAACTCACTGGCCTTGTGTCAGCTGCAAAAAGATATAGAACTGAAATAATTCAGGCACCCCTCAGCCTCTTAAGAAGACATGATATTTAAAAGCTTCAGCTATGGATAGACATCAAAGAATAAATCCGTGTGGACAACAAAGTTCACACATCTTTGTGATAGCAAGTCCCATCTCTTCCCAGAGACCATGCACCCCTGAGATATGTTAACATAATTATGGCTCTCCCCTGGATGGTATCATTTCCCAAATTGAACAGTATCTTCAATTTAGAGTTCCTTGAGACATCAGTATTTTGTTTTTACTTGTTATTTGTAAATTGAATAGACACCCTTTCTGTGACACTGGTTATATCTGAACAGCACTGCAAAAGGCACATATAATAACACTGAACATTGTTACTTTTCTCATTAATAATTTACAGTGGAAGCCAAATTAATATCATTTGCAACTCTAGCATGAAACCAGAAAAGCTGTTACAAGTGACACAAGCAATGAGAAACTTACAGTTTCCTTCTTCACTTATACAGCTGGGACAGATGATTTGAAAGCTGTGTCGCAAAAAGGGAAAAGTGTATGGACTGAATCACAGAATAATAGAATCACTAAGGTTGGAAAAGGTCTCTAGACCAACCCCTAACCCAGCAGTGCCAAGTCCAGCATTAAACCATGTCCCCAAGTGCCACATTTCCAGGGACAGTGATTCTTCCAGCTCTCTGGACAGCCTACTCCAAAGCCTGAACACCCTGTTAACACACTGTACCCATGCTCAGCTCTACAGCAAATACCAATATACAACAGAGAGTAAGACTGTAATGCCAGTTTTCCCAAAGTACAAATCCTGCTAGCTCCATGCAGAAAAAAACCATCATAAATGCAATGGAAAATGTCAATTTTCAATCAGCCAGTTTTCTTGAGAAAACTGTCACATGTAAATGACAATATAATGACAAAACACATACCAAAGTAAGGAAATGAAACTGCCCATACCTTCTCTGCCTTGTAAGAAGACCCTCTCCTGTCCGTGCTGTGCACTTTTTGTGGCAGCCACGTGCTCTGACCATCCCATGTTTGTGCTTGCAGCTCCTTATTCAAACCAGTGATGAGCAAATCTGTGTCTATGAGAAGTGTTTCTTTGCCAAGAGAATCCTTGTTCCTTCACTGGCACCAGGTGTGATTATCTAAACTCTGTTGTGGTCCTTTGCTTTTGAGTCATTCCAGGACTCTCTCTTGCAGTGAAGGCCTTATTTTCCCACATTCTGTAATCACACTGCTAAAAGCCATAACTAAAACATGAAAAATTTCTATTTGAAAATACATTCCCTAAATGCTTGTTCCTTTTCAACACTATATTGTGAGCAACACATTCTTTAGGGGATTGAGATTCCAGACTTTCGCATGATCCTTGTTTCCAAGGTAAATTGTGCTTTCTACCAGGGTTGTTCTGACCCTGACATCAGCCACAATTTGCTGCATGTGACTGAATTAATCTTGTGGAGTGTCTCAGCTCCTTCTGTAGGTAAATGCTCTTGTCCAGTGATTATTTGTGCAGAGTACTTCTCTTCAGAGCCTGATAATTATCTGAGAAAACAGGCTGCTTCTGAGGCTGATTCCAGCACCTTCAACAGCTTCCTCTGTCCTTCCTTACTTGCTCATTGCCTTATGTTATTTTTGTCAATCATAATTTCCATTTCATGTGATGTGTTATTGTAACCAGCTACTTCATGTTGGAGGTCAGTGTGTTCATGGGAGTAGATTTGTTTCACAAATATGATTTTCAAGAAAACATGATGGAGGATAAAATTATCATCTAATATTGTGCTCTTAATATTTGCATCTTGCCTCAACATTTCAGAAATAATTAAAATTATCTATTTATTCATATTGCCTTTACAGTTCTGAAGCATTTATTTGCTTTTCCTTCCTTGAAAGAGTAATATTTTTTTCATTTTCTAACCATTCTCTTAAAAAGGTCTTTGCAACTTCCTTTTTTCCCAGTGTGTGCTTCACCCCAAATTTTTCTTGCAGTTCAGGTGGTCAATGACTGTTTATCTACCTCTGCTGGTTGAGGTTGTGCCACTTTTGCTATTGATGATGTTTTTTCATTTCACCTGAGAGGACGCCATGATTTCCAAATATTCACATTCAACTGTTTCTCTGCTTATCACATTTATCTACATGACCATTTCTCCAAGTCCTTCTTTCTTCTTGAAGAGATCACTGAGCACAGCACATCATGCATTCTCTTTTCCTGACCTCTCAGGCCACCATGGAATCTGTCATTTTCCCAGTGCTGTCTTTACAAGACATTGCCTTTCTTTCCAATAAACATTCAAAGAACCGTATTTCCCACACAGTTCTCACCCACTTAAAAGTTTTCATACTTCACTCTACCATCTTGCCTTTCTCCAAAACCCTTCCTTTCTGCATCTGTGGATTTCCAACTTAGGAGTTTAATATTAATTTGACCACTGCAGGGTTGTAAATCTTTATTTGTTTCCAACTTTGAACAGTTTGCTTCCTTTCAGCTATTTACTATAGACAACTTATTGTCAAACACTTAGCTTTTTTAATATAGATATTAAAAAGGAGATCCTGTGTTTCTTGGGTGAAATGCAAACCACATTTGTTGAAAGCATGCAGTATGGAGACAAAGATCTCAGTACGGTAAGAAAACCATTTGGTAGATAACAGTTCACATAGCAGCCAGTAATTGCACTTGTATTTTTTCTGCTGTTTGGTTGGTGGGAGAGTGTAAGTCCTGTTTGTAATTTTTTTCAGTGTTTCTGATGTGCTGGTCTTTATTTGATTGTGAAATCATTCCAGCTTGAAGCCATATCTTTTAAAAAGTCTCTAATTTTAAGTTCAATTATTTTGCAGCTTCAAGTATTATGCAAACTGATTTATGAAAAAAAATGCACCAATTTAAAGCTGCTCGATAAATATTTTCCGTGTTTTTGCATGTGGACTCAGCTTTTCACTCCATAGCTTCTTTTAATAGCCTGTAAACAGAAAACAAAAATAACAAAGAAAAGAAAAAGTCTGCTAAGCTTTTGATAAAAAACATTACTTTAGAAATATGTGTTGGCATCAACCCTAAATTCACAGACAGATCAATACCTTTCTGAATGTTTTATATTACCTTCAGAATAACTAGAACCAAAATTACTATCAGTAAATCACCTGGTTTGCCTTGAAATAATTAACACTGTTGAAAAGTCCAACTATAATTAAGTCTCTTAAAATTGGCTTTTCTGTGTTAGATTACCCAGAGACAGATTCACCTCTGGCAAGATGAATTAAAGAACATTGCCCTTCAAACCAGCACCACAGTGTGATGTGCACTCCTAGAAATGTCAAAAGCTGAGTAGTTATGTGGCTGCACAGTCATTATCCCTGTGTTATCTCCTCAAAATGCTTGTCACCAAGCTTGAATTTAATTATTTAAGTGCTTATTGTTGACAGGAAGATTAGTACATTATATCAGCACAATGTATTTTTTGAAGACTATAAAAATTTTCAATTTATTTTAATTTTTTTCTCTTTTAATCTAAGGGGAACCCAGAATACTATCAGGTAATATCAGCATGGAAACCTATAAATCCCTTGAATGCATCGTATGTCAAAATGTTTTAAATGGAATTTTAAAAATGCTGGTGATTTCAACGTTTATTGAATGTTTATAAAGTATCTCTAGACTTGGCCAGTGGATCTTTCAACATATTTAAAAGGATATACATTCATCCAGCTGTTAGCACCTCTAACTGGGACTGGTATAAAAAACCTGGAGCACGTTCCAAAGGCAATAGTTTGGTGACTCTTTTAACATTACTCTTTCAAACTTATGTTAACCAAAATAGCATCTGTTTTATCCAAAAATTCACTTCAAAATGTGGAAAGGTGAACAGTTTACGACAAGGCTTCATCTTTCTTAAAACACCTTTCTATAAGCACATGCTCAATTTTTTACAAAATAAACAAAATTTCAAAAGCAATCCTGAAAATACTGAAAAAATTTGTTCAATTTCAACTACTTTTCAACTTCTAACAATCAAAATAAAGCTCCTGCACTTTTAAGAAAACAATGATACCTGAGAATTACATTCTACCCATCTGCATTTGTTACCATTTTATTGAAAAATTGAAAAATAAAAAGCATATGCAGCAATGCTTGCAATGAAAGCCCAGAGCAAGTTCAAAAGAGCATCAAGAGAAAGATGATAATTGAATATATTGGACCTGAATAAACCCTAGAAAAAGCCCATAATAATACAGGTCTGATTTCTCAAAAGTATTTGAGATCTGGGCAGTAGAAAATATTGTTTCATTCTAACAATATTGTTTCATGCTCATAATAGGGGCTTAGGGTAACAATTGTCATCATTCTTTTTCATCATACAGTACTAACAGCAGCCTCAAAGATGTTGATTAAACTCCCACCATAAGGAGATTCCTTGAAGATAATTCACAACAGATTACAAAGAAGAAAAAAGCTTAGAAATTTTGTAAAGGTAAAAGCATTGTGTATTATCAGGTTAAAAACAAACAAAAACCCCACAACAGTAACAATACAAATACTGTATAATATTCAATAGCTTTAAAGCATAGTTTAATCCTCAGCTGGGCTGCTGAGTTACCATCCTTCCTGAAAGGCAGCGTGGAACTTGCACTGCTCCAGGGAACAGGACTGGCACTGATTTTCTAAACTGCATTTCCCTCTTGCTCTCTGTGAAAGGTGAGCACTGGTGCTATGGCTCCTGCCACAGCTGAAGAAATTCACTTCCTTTAGCACTGAGCTGAAAGGACCAGGACACTGGGAAAGGACAGTGAGAGTGATGGCAATGTCTCAGGGGAGAGGCACAGAGGATTTTTATCCTCACCCTTTCCATGTTGTGTCTTTCACATTGCAACCCTCAAATCGCCTGATAAAAGGCAAAATTTGTTGTTATTTCCTAAGTTATTTCATGGCCTCAAGGATCTGGAGGAAGTGAAATCAACTCCTTATTTTGTATGGGTGGTTATGCTCACAGGGCTTCTTAGAAAGCAAAACTTGAGCCAAGTGATTCTTTGCCTCCTCTCCATCCAGCATGACAGAAGGCAGGAATCTACAGCAATTACTGAACTTTGAGACAAAATTTACCTGCTCTGCAAGAATGGAAAGCACTCACTGCACTATGGCACTCAGTATCTTTGAATAAAATAATCATTTCTCATTGAAAACCCAATCACTTTCTGCAGGAATCTAGGGAGGAAAGTATTCAAGCTGGACTTTCTAGATGGCTCTTCCTCTCTGTGCAGGTAAAATCAGTATGCCCTTCCTCATGGTTTCAGGACCTTACAAATAATCCCCTAAACATGGCAAAATCTAGGAGTCAAAAACTGAGTACAAAGAAATATAAAGAATACCAACCACACGTCTCGGCTCAGTTGTGTCATCAAGGCCACAGAATGAATGCTAGTGAAAAAAACAAAAAAAGGAACAAAAACTATAACATAAGATCAAAAGAAAATGAGGAAAAAAGAAAAGAAAGAAGATGTAAGATATGTAATATGAAATCCAGTGACATTACAGCAGTTAGTCTTACATCAATAATTGAGTTGATCTGAAAGAAAGACACAGTATACCAATCTTACTCTAAAAAGCAGTAAAGAAATCAATATTTGAGGGCACTTTTGCAATGGCAAAATCTGTGGATTTTTTAACTTCATATATCTTAGACTTGGTTTTGTGATTCACTTAAAGTACTTATAATTACACACACTAAAGCTTTCCTGAATCAAGGCTTAACAAGCCAGGGGCACAACCTAAATGCAACAGAAACAGCAGAGAATCAGCTTTGAGAAGAGCACAGAATGTTTAAACAGCATTTGTTCCTAATATATCAACCCACAGATTAAAATGGAGATTTTACATCATTCTTCTGTACAGCCCCTAGAAACAGGACAGTTTGCTGAAGAATCTATAGGGCAGAAATACTGTAATATTTATGTTCTGATTTGACAGGATTTTACACAAACCTTAAAAATTGAATCCACTCCTAAAGGAAAATGAACAGTCATACTCAGACACAGTAAGGGGTGCATTGCCCCTAGCTACCACCAGCTATAAATGCTATAAATGCTGCTGTTCCTTCAAAAGCATAAGACTTCTCTTCACAAGAAATTATTGTGCTCAGCATCAGTAGCATGGAGGTGTCAGTCTGCATCCTTTAACACATTAAACCTTTAGAAGAACGATGAGGTAAAATGATACCATCCATTGCTTCCCTGACAACTCCATCTTCCTTTGGGCCATCAGAATGGGATTTAATCCCAGGGAAAAAATAATTCAAATGTAATAGGGATAGAAGGAAGCCATCCCATCCAGAAGCTGAAGGTCAACAGAAAGAGATGAAGCTTTTTTGAGGTCTCTTGCTAATGTAACATTAAAGCAAAGAGGATGTTAATCATTTTAACTCATTACCAGCTTTCTGCTAAGCTTGTGATTAAGCTCTTTCTTTTCCAGTGCTTTTCCACATCCATCCGGCTGATGAACCAGCAGAGATAATGCTATTTTCCATTTCCAAAATTATCAGTCTGGCTAATCCTATACCTGCTCTGTAAACTCTAATGGCAATGCCTTAAAAAGGCCTACATTTTGGCAAAAGCAACATCTAGAGATGTTTATTTTTTAGAACAGGTGGATAAACAGTAATATTTGAAATAATCAATATGTACAAGTACTGTCTAACTCTCAACATTTCTCTGCTTTGAGGAGTTAAGTGCAGCACCTTAGACATCACTGGCTGCTAGGCAGGAACAGCTCCAGGTACAGACATGGTCTGGGGCAGAAGAGGGCAAAGGCAGCAGAAGGGCCCTTGTAAGGGTGAAAAGAGCCCTTTTAAGGGTGAATAGTGCCCGTGTTTCTCTGCCAGTGCCAACATGGAGCACTGCCCTCCCAATGGATGCAGACAGAGCAGCCCCAGCCTCATCATTGTGGGGCTGACATAAAGCAGTAATGAGCCACAGCAGCAGACAGCCCAGCTTCTGCAGGCTCCTCTCCTGCTCTTCCACAAACCCAGATGGGTATCACAGTCTGAAAAGTGCAGGAAAAGTACAGCAGAGGGGAGACAGCTACTGTGGGAGCAGAAGGGGCCGAGGAAGGTGCTGAGGGAATTGGAATAGTTGCTGGAAGTGCAACTGGGAGGACTGCCACATCCTGGAAGCAGATGAAGGGATGCTGAGATCAGAGAAGGGTGAGGAAGAAACTTTTCCACACCCAGTGAGCTGCTCCCTGAATCCTCACTCTGTTCTGCCAACCCCACTGACCCCTTTTAACTCCCTCCAGAGTCCTGCAAAAGCTTTCCTTTTGCCCTTTTAGCCATTCTTATCCCAAGAGAAAAAAACAATGACTGAGAACTCCACTAAGGTCTCCATTCAGCCCAGCAGTAGGTTTATGCAGGATTGCATGCCCATAAATGCTGAAGAAAATGAACCTGGACATGACTCTTGTTGGCATCTAGGCACTGGTTCAGCAAAGGTAACATAACTAAAACACTCTGCTGGGGCTAGAGAAAAACCCATTGTCAGTCCATGCTTTGCAGAGCAGCCTAAACTCCACAGACCTGGGAAAAACATGAGCCCACAGTCCATGAACCTTGTGCCATCCCTAGTTTGGGAACCACAGTGACACAAATTAATTTGCTGTCTGAAGCCTTGATCAGAGCTTCTTCTTAAAAAAAGAAATCAGATCCATTATATCAATCTTTTTCTATATTAAAACAAGAAATATTCCTTAATTGTAGTGTTTAGCAGGCATTTCCCTAATTTTGTTTTATTTTTCAGTACTTGAAAGTTTTGCAAAGCAATGCTGTCCAAAAAATAGGGCTGAGCTAACCAATTTTTTCAGAGACAAATCTTTTTTCTTTTTTGTTCTAAACCACAGCAAATCCTCCTTCTACTAGTCTAGAGTCTCCCCAGACTCCTTGATTCCTTCCTGTAATTGACAGAAATCCTGGATAGGAAATAATTTTGAGCAGATTAGGGACGGAGCTGCATTTCATGACACAATGACTCAAACACAAATTTTTATCTCATCTTAAAATAGATTTTGTGATATTAGATTAAGTACTATTAACATCAGTGCAACAGAGAAAAACAATTTTCTGTGGAAAAAAAAATCAGTTGGTACTGCCCAGACATAAATTTACCTTTTCCTCAATTTCTTTGAGTTGCCTCTTTTGAACTTCTATTTTATCTTCTAGATCTCGAATTCGCTGGAACAGAAAAAGCAAAATAGACATTATTATACCTAATTTGAAAAGCATGTGAATAAAAAAGATGAGAAATAGGTTAAAAATAAAGAGAACAAATGCCCATTATTAATGTAAAACTTCCTTTACAGCTATATTAGGCATTTCCATGGCAGAATTTTCCACGTTTCCACGAAACCATGGCAATTCAACCAAGCTGCATGTTCAGAATGTCATGTTTATACCAGGAAGTCTACTCACCACCACTCATTAATCACAATTTTCACATATACACACAGACAATTCCATTTTGCATGAAAATTCTTTTTTTGTCCAACTGCCAGTTTTTCTGCTTACCTAGACAGTCAGCAGATTACACTACCACATTTCCTTTTAACCCTTAATTTTCTTTTCCTATAAAACATAACCATGCTTGTAGCATAGTCAGGCTATACCAGAGAAAAGAGAATGCACAGATTTTCAGTTTATCACAAAGACACCATCCAGAGACTCAGCTCTGTCCTATTACCAGCCACCTCCCACCACAGTCGGATGGAATGTTTCCTTCACTGTAGCTCCCCATATTTTTTAAGGATTTTTCTTGTTCAGTTTCACAAAGATTCTTCAAAAACATGACTGCTGCTGGGTCCACATATCTTATTCTTTTCTGTATCACATATCTCCTTTTTTCCTTTCTGTAAGTCACACTTCTTTTTCTTATTCTTTATTTTTCTTTTGATGTTGGGGGTCTTATACCAATTTAGGTACATTTGATTACACTTTCAGTACAATGTACTTGTTACAGATAAAGTAGGTTATAAATAATTTTTTCTCTAGGCAGACACCTGAAATCTTCTACTAACAGTCACTGGTGATCAAGAAACAACTTCATACAATGAGGGTTTTTTTGGGGGATTAACTACCCAATCTCAGCTGGGCCTACAACAGCTAGGGGTGTTAACAGTTCCTGAACTTGGAAAGACAAATTATCATCTCCTCTAACATGGGTGGCATAGGTGAGTACAATTAATGCAGCTGCTGCTGCCTCACTCCCAAATTATTTTATGACTCTCAAATTGATGTGAACAACAGTGCCTCTTTCAAAACAACATCCAGTCTTTACTAAAAAACCTGAGTGTATCAGCTGCTGCTGGTAGTTGTTACCTGCATTCAGCTTGAAGAGCTCAACCAGGGTAAATGCTCCACACTCATTATTGCCCAGGACAGCTGCAGCAAGGCAGCAGCTGGGCCAGTGACCAGACTGCTTTGGAGAAACACAAAGTTTGGCCTGAAAATCACAAATCTAACCTGGATCTATTCAAAAAACGAGGTACACACAACCCTGCAGTTCACTTTTCCTAGGGCATGCTCCTCCACAAAAATATTGAAGAAAAGCCATGAGCAAAAAAGCTTTGTTATCATTGGTCCTGCTTCAAAATGGAAAATTTAACTTAAAGCCTGTTTTGAATATTATACATACACTGTAAATAAATCAAAATCTACACTATATCATACTGCAGTGCTCAAGGATTTCCCCAGATAATGAACAAACCAGCATGAGCTAGATTACCCTCAGGTGACATAAGTGAATGCACCTTTGCTGACAATCACAAATGCCCCAAGCACAGCTTTATTAATGTCACTTTTCCTCTATTCCATTTAAATTGATTTACAGCTCATCTACACCCTGTTCAAGGCAAGCCTATCTCCCAAGTGATCATCTTCATATACTGCATGTAGCAGGAATGTTACAATCACTGAGAAAAACCATGGGATGAGAAGCAGGCAGTTGGAATCAGCCCCAACATCTCTAGTCCATCAGGTTAGACTGCTGTTTCTCTCCAACTCATTACAGTTATGCTGATTCCTGCTTCTAACCACATCCCAGACCTGACTGACAGAATTCAATTCTCTGTGCTCTGATGCTCTCAGATAAACTTTGACCATAGTGAGATAAGTGGAGAGAAGCAATTTTTTAAAATATCATTACCATCTTCAAGATTTATCCTGTAAAGATATTTTTCAATAATTCCTGAGACTCTGCCTTTAGAAAAAAAAAAAAAAAAGAACATAAAGAATATAAAAATAAAATTTATAAAAGAATTTAAAGCCACCGAACATCTGGTGGCTTTCTCACCTCAGGGTTTAGAGCAAGTGTTCCTCTCTAAAAGAACAAGTTAATTAGGATAAGATGGCATTTTTAGGATTTGGGAATTCTGTTAATCAAGTAAAAATTGAGATGTTATTACTCCCTCATGAATTTTTCATCTTTTCAAGATCATAGCTATCCAGCTATTTTCTCCACCCATTCAGAACAGTTCTAAAAAAAGGGCTGAGGCTTCCATTTTCCAATTCCTTCCCATAATAACTGATAAATTTTGGGAGATGAAAGATAAGAGAATAGTTTTAAGGTGCAGAAACATATAATTTCTTAAAAATCACTTAAAATACAAAGACAACCTACCAGCTGAAAGGAATACACAAAGGATTGAATCTCTTAGCACTGAAAATCTACAAAAAACCCTCAAAACAACTAGATTGGTAATAGTAAGGCAGATTGTGTTGGTTTTGGCTGGGGTAGAGGTAACTTTCTTCACAGTAGCTGGTATGGGGCTGTGTTTTGGATTTGTGCTGAACACAAGGTTGATAACATAGAGATGTTTTTGTTATTGCTGAGCAGAGCTTACACAGAGCCAAGGTCTTCTCTGCTTTTCACACCCCACTCTGGCAGGGAAGTTGGAGGTGAATGGGAGGCTGGGAGGAGACACAGCCAGGACAGGTGACCCAAACTGACCAAAGGGGTGTTCCAAATGATGTGACATCATGCTCAGTATATGAAGTGGGAGGAAGAAGATGGAAAGAGGGGAAAATTTGGAATGGTGGTGTTTGTTGGCTCCAGTCCCTGTTACATGTGATGGTCCTTGCTCCTCTGGAGATGGCTGAACACCTGCCTGCTCATGGGAAATGGTGAATTGATGTCTTCTTTTGTTTGGCTTCTCTTCACAGCTTTTGCTTTCCCTATCAAACTGTCTTTATCTCAACCCATGAGTTTTCTAGTTTACTCCTCCAATTCCTTCCTGATCCTGCTGGGGAGGGAGGGAGTGAGTGAGTGGCTGTGTGAAGCTTGGCTGCCAGAGGGGGTGAAAGCACAGGAGCTCTCTTTGGTGCCCAGTGCTCTGTTTGGTGCCCACTGTGGGGCTGAAGGCTTTGGGATAACAGGTTCAACTGGGATGCACTAGACTGAATTTACAGCTCTCAGTGCTGGTCAGCCAAGGATCAGCAGGCTCCTGTTCTGCCCTGGGCTTGATTACCTGATTGTGTGTTAGAATCTACTGCTCAGTAGTGGCCACTTTGTGCTTTTCCTGCCTGCTGCAGTGCTGTACTGCTTATCACCTCACTGAATTGTGCCTGGGAATGTTCTGATAGCAGCCATGGTGCAGGGCCTGGGCTGGCAGGTGCCAAGGGCACTGCTGCTGCCCTGCACAGGGTGGGCACAGCCAGCAGGGCAGACACTGATGTGTATAAATGTGTGCTCAGAGCTGCTCCAGATTGGTGCTGAAGGCAGGTGATTGTTTAAACAGCTTGTATTCCTCTCATGTGAGTGCAAACCACAGAGACAAAATACTTTTGCTGCCAATGAGTAAAATTTTGTAACTGACTTCTTTGCTGCAGAAATGAGAGAGTCCAAATCTAGACAGGCCAAAATTTGGTTTAAAACACAACCATGGGCTGGAATTGTTCATCAGGTATCAAAGCCTGGGGGTGTTTGCTCCTAGTGCCCTTGGCACCTGCCAGCCCAGGCCCTGCACAGGGTGGGCACAGCCAGCAGGGCAGACACTGATGTGTATAAATGTGTGCTCAGAGCTGCTCCAGATTGGTGCTGAAGGCAGGTGATTGTTTAAACAGCTTGTATTCCTCTCATGTGAGTGCAAACCACAGAGACAAAATACTTTTGCTGCCAATGAGTAAAATTTTGTAACTGACTTCTTTGCTGCAGAAATGAGAGAGTCCAAATCTAGACAGGCCAAAATTTGGTTTAAAACACAACCTTGGGCTGGAATTGTTCATCAGGTATCAAAGCCTGGGGTTGTTTGCTCCTAGCTGTTTCCTTGCTTTCCCCTGGAGGATTATCCAGGAGGATAAAGTGGGTGTAGCTATTCCCATGAATATCCTCTGATTGCTCAGGGACAGACTTGGCAAAAAACCAGCATAGTTCAGCTATTTATATATAGTGAAAAAATATGATTTAATTGCTTATTTCCATTTGACTGTAGAGAAAGCCTTAGTATTTACCACATAAAATTAATTTTCTCTTATTGTACCTATCTGCATTTACTGCATTATCTTGATCACAAAGACAACAATTTACAAAATACAACTTTAGAAAATACGTGTAAGATAAATCATCATAGCTGTAACAAAAAAGCATCTTCTAGAAGTAGCAAGACATGTTCATCAGTCAAAGGCTATATATAATTACACAAAAGTTAGAGATACCAATTGAGACCAAGGCAGGACTGTCTGAGATTCAGTATAAACCTTTACGTCTTTCTGTTCCTTTAATTTGCAAGAATTACCAATCAAGAAGCTGTGGACTCACTCTCAGATTCCAGCACTTGATTAAATGCTTTCAGTATATTCTGATTTGTTTATGTTTGCAAAAGTGTGACTGTGACAACAAATCATGCAGAACTATTTCATTGTTATTCTGAAATTCTACATACTTTTATGCTTCAGGGTATAAATTGATGATCATTAAGTTGAGCTGTTCCTGCTATGTGGTATAGAGTGGTAACAATTGGACTATAAAAGATGCATTCAGTTCTATCCATGACATGGGTTGCATGAACCTTGCAAATCCAATATATTTTCAACAGTACAAAAAAAGTGTGAGGAAGCAACAAAATTGATTCTATTTTGCTCTCAGAACTTTGATAAGCCTCAGCTGAAAAAAAAGCCACAGGCTGTTCTTCTCTTTATTTCATTTTTTTAAAAGAGAGGGGTAGGAATTATTGATAGGCAGC